CACACGTGTATGTGTGCAGGTGTGCATGTACATTTGTGCACATGTGCATACATGTGTGCACGTGTATGGACATGGATGGGGTTTCGTGTGTGCATGGGTGTGGGTACACATATGTGTGCATGTATGGGCAGGATTCAGAATTCAGCTGAGCTGGTCTTGAATGAGGCACTAGATCACTAATACCAATGGGAAGGGAAGGAGGCTCTTCGCCCTTGGGGACAGGGTCTGTCTGAGCAGGGAGACATCACAAACCCTGCCAGGTCCTGTGGAACAGGAAGGGCCACTGCAGGGCCAGCGGGGCCGCAGGAGCAGGCACGGGCTGAGAGCTGCAGCTCTGTGGACATTCACTCGGGAACAAAGACCCTGCACTGAGTCTACAAGCCCCACCGGGCAGACAGCAGCTGGACACGGGGTATGGCTGAGCAGGACCGAGGCCAAGGCCCCACATCTCACTATGGATAAAACACACCTGGAGGGGGCCTTCCCTCCACTTTCTGCTGAGGGGGCTGCCCTATCTGCTTGCCATGGGGCGGCGGAGGGCGGGGCAGGGTGTTTCTTTCTTTCTGTCGCATGAAACAGAACGGGGTTCAGGCTCACGCCAGCCACGGTGCAGCTTCTCATGCTCTGCCGGGCTCCATGCTGGACTCATGCACGGGAGGGGGCTGCGGGGGGCCCTCGGCTCCAAGCAGACACCAGTGGAAATGGAGAGGAGACGGGCTCCCTGGTGCTCCCCAGTGTCCACACAGTCCAGGCAAGGACGCTCAGCACCTTCACCCCTGCCACATGACGGGCTGCCTGCGGGTGATCCCAATGAGAGCCGTGGCCAAGGACTCAGCTATAGCTGCTGCTGCGGGGCCAGGAGAGGGTCCTCCAAGGACCCTGCACCATCTCATCCCCTCGGCCTCAAGCTAGGCATTGGACTCCATCCCTACGTGCTCCGTGCCCCTCAGGGTGGGGTGAGGACCTCTCCTCTGGGTGAAGCTGCGTGTCTCCTGGCTTTAGCAGTCCTGGGAGGTGGAGCCAGGGCCTTCTCAGCTCATGGCTCTGAACACTGAGCGACCGACCCCTGTAGCAATGCCCAGAAGGACAGGAGGGCTTCAGTCTCAGGGCACGAAACCCTTTGGGATTGGGGGGCATGGCAGGGCAGGGACCCAGCAAACACTGTCTGGGGCCACCCTGGGTCAGGAAGCAGCAAACAGCCCTGCCTGCTCCCCAGGAACTCCACTCTCATGGGAAAAGCTGTTGCATCCAGAAGACGCCAAGCCCACTGTCCCCGGGCCTCACATGCGGGAACCCTGGCACCCACCAACTTGGACTGGGCTGTGACCCCAGGGACTCGGTTGTGCCCAGAGCCCCTGTGCCCCGAGCTGCCAGGTAGGGCTGAGGCCAGCTGTGCTCACCCTCCACAGCCCTGCTCTGGGGGCTGTGCTCCACCTCAGCCAATCAGACTTGCCGGAGGAGGGGGAATGGCTCTCATCCAAGTGGCCTCAGGGAAGAAAGAAGGCCTCGCTGAGCCTGAACTGACCCCGAGACCCTGCTGCCAACTCTCCACCTAACTGTGCTAGCCTCCCGGTCTGCCCATCCACTGGGGTCCTACCCTTTGCTCCATCAGTAGTGCTGATCATGGCAGTGGCAATTTAAAACAAAAATGCCAGAGCTCACAGGGCTCCCTCGGCGCCAGCACGGTGTGGGGATTTTCTCATTTACTCTTCAGGCAGAGGAGCCACCACCCTGCTCAGGCCCACGCAGTGCCAAGGGCAAGGTCGACCCCAGCAGTGAGTGGGTGTGGAGGGGCCCACGTCAGCGCCCAGGGAGACTGCACATTGGTGGCAGGGTGGGAGGACGCCTTTGTGGGCACCATCCCAGGAAGCCCAGCCTGTCCTCCCGGCCCTGCGCCTCTGAGGGCACCTGACCCCTGAGGAGCTGCCCAACCCCAGGTGGACGTCACGTGGGACATCGTGGGAAGGAGTCCCAGCGCCCCAGGAGGGCCCTGGCAGGGGAACAGGCTTCTCCCTAACGCTTTTTCGGGAAGAGAAAACCTGACGTCCCCTCCATCCGGGAGAAAGCATTGTGCCGGGTGCTGCCGTCATGTGGCCTGGAGCGAAGGGGCCGGCCATTCCACAGAGACAACCGGAAGAGGTGCTGGCATCCTAACCTAGGTGAGTACTGGGGTGACTCTCTCGGAGGGGCCGTGGGTCCTTTGGTGGGGTACTTCTTGTGCCGGGGAGTTGAAGGGGGTGGGGGGCCCACAATCATATCTATCCTGGCAGAGTAAACGAGAGAAGAGACACCGGCAAAAATGCATCATAAAGCAACAGGAAAGGAGGTTGGCTGGAAATTTGCAGAAACAGAAGAAACAACCCAGCTTCAGACAACAAAGTGACACTTCTTAAAAGTATTTCCACTCAAAACAGAGAGCAGTTGGTGCCACACGCACACGACCTCCCGTGTGGCAGCTGCACCCGCATGGCTGCGCCTCTGCTGCCTGCCCGTGACACAGGGCACACAGGCTCCCGGGAGAGTGTGCAGCAGGTGCCAAGTACCGGAGAGGGCGCTGGCTACAGGGCCTCCTGTGACTCATCGTCAGCAAGAGGAGAGGAAGTGTCCGGGGCTCCTCAGGTGGTTGCTAGGTTTTGTGTGTTTTTCCAGAAAGGGAAGGAAAGGAGGAAATTTAAGACAGAAGAGCCTGGTGAACAGAAACAGCTGTAGTGAGAGACATGGAAACAAGCACAAGTCGAGAGACTGGGACGCTCCCTCACACGCACACACCCACATGCTCATGTACACACACGCTCAAGCACGCGTGCACACACCCACATGCTCACATGCACACACACGTGTGCACACAACACAGGCGCACACACATTCTCATACACATGTGCACACACGCCCGCAGGCTCACATGCACACGCTCATACACACGCGCACACACGCCCACAGGCTCACACACACATGCTCATACGCATGCACACACACGCCCACAGGCTCACACACACATGCTCATACACACGCACACACACGCCCACAGACTCACACACACATGCTCATACACACGCGCACACACATTCCCGCACGCTTACATGCTCATACACACGCGCACACACATTCCCGCACGCTTACATGCACATACACATGCACACACAGCACAAGGCTAGCCTATGCTTGGGAGGACATGGAGGGAGAGGCCTCCCAGCCTGAGCCTGGGTGGAAGAAGGGGACACTTCCCTGCCCACGCCCAGTGGGAGAAGGTTGAGGTCTAGAGAGACCCTTGTGCTGGCACCCAGGCACGGGACAAGACGGCACCCCGAGTGGAGCACGCCGACTTCCTCAGACGCTCCTGCCAGAGGGCTGAGCTGGGTGTGGCCCCAGGGCTGTCCCAACTGTCCAGACCCCAGGCCCCAGTGCTACTTCCAGGGCCGGGGAACAGCTGCAGCCTCGCATGGGGGGCTTGCGGGGGAAGAGCCTGACCAGCAGGAAGGTGTGACCTACTTCAGAAGAGATTCAAAACAGCCGTACGGCCTTCTACAGGCACCACAAACACCATGCATGTGCATGTGCTTGATTACGTGTAGCTGAGGGTGCATGCCTGTGAGCAACTGTGTGTGTGTGGACTTAGGGATCTCCGTGTATGTGGGCAGCAGGCCAGAGCACAGCTATGTGCACCTGTGTGTGTGGGAGTGGACAGGTGTGCTGTGTCCCCAAAAGGTTCATGTAGTGGAATTTCATCCCCATTGTAACGATGTTGAGGGTGGAAACCCTATGATGTATTTGAAGAGGTGATTGGATTGTGAGGCCTGTGTCCTCTTGAAGGGACTGATCCATGCATGGAGTGGTGGGCATGGTTCTGGTGGCTTCATAAGGAGAGAGAGTGAGCAGGTCAGCTCTCTTGCTCAGCCCATTCTCACCGTGTGACACCCATGTCACTGTGGAGCCACCACCAAGAACAAGGCCCTCTCAGATGTGTGCCCTGGACTGTGGATTTCTCAGCCTCCGAAACTGCAAGAAATAAATTTCTTGTCTTCATAAATCATGCAGTTTCAGGTATTCCGTTATAAGCAACAGGCAACAGACTAATACAATGAGTCTGTGTGTGCGTGCACATGTATACACGCCTGTATGTGGAGAATGCACATGTGGGGGGGGGGGCACAGGCACGTGCATTGGCTCCTGGAGTGAGCAAGCCTGTCCTCACACACGTGGGGTCGACGCAGAACAGCAGGTGGATGCCCGGCTACTGCCTCCTGCTCAGAGGCCTCACAAGGCAGGGAAGGGATGGCCCTGTGTTCTAGAAACAGAAGAGGTGGGGGGGGGTGCACAGGCACGTGCATTGGCTCCTGGAGTGAGCAAGCCTGTCCTCACACACGTGGGGTCGACGCAGAACAGCAGGTGGATGCCCGGCTACTGCCTCCTGCTCAGAGGCCTCACAAGGCAGGGAAGGGATGGCCCTGTGTTCTAGAAACAGAAGAGGTGCCAAGTAGCACATCTGCTGCCTGAGGGGCCCATGGAAATCCTGGAGCCTCATTCTCAACAAAACCACTCCATACCAAACACGTGTGTACACACATGCACACACACAAGCATGCATTAATACACACATGTGCAAACCAGCACTGCACTCACCCACACATGTGCACACACATGCATGAGAACACAGGCATGCACGCATATGTGCACCGACACATACACGTGTGTACATGCATGCACTCAGAGGCCAGCACGCATGTGCACTCACACGCACCCATGCATACGCATACATACATGCGTGAGTGCACACTCACACGCGCACACACACTTGCCCACCACAGTGCGGGTGGGGGAGAAGGGAGAGATGACAGAAACATTAAAAACAGACAGACTGTGAGATGACATGGCAAAAAGCTGACAAGAAGCCGACGTGGGTGGGAGGAGGCCCCGCTGGCCCTGCCCTGCACCCTCCACGCCCACCCCAGGGGCCCCGCCCTTGCCCTGGCTGGGCAGCAGGTGGGGGCTCTTGCCTGGACTGCAGGCTCTTGATCCGGGACAGCATGTCCAGGTGGCCAGCAGAATACTGCTCGATCACGTCCATCACATCGTACGGCCGCAGACTCTCCTTGAATTTCCGTTTGGATACCAGGAACCGCATGACACTGCCAGGGCCAGAGGGGCCTTGAGCTTCGGCCAGAGACCACCCCAGCCCCTCTCTGACTGGGCCGACACCAGCGTCCACCTGCCGGCTGCCCTCCCAGCATCTCTGACACAACTGGATGACTCACCCCTCATCATGGCCATTCGCCCGCCCCACAAAGGGCCACCTGTGGTGCCCGGCTGCCCAGACAGACCCTCGTCCACCCTGAGATCTGCTGATGCAGGGGCAGCCTCCTCTCCTGGGCCCCCACGACACCCAGGATGGGGGCAGCTCTCGGGCCCAGTCTTCCCCCTCACAGACTCCCAGCCATGCCAGGCACAAGGTGATATCACGAGGAGCAGGGACAAAGAGGGCGTCGGCCACAAGCCTTCTCACTGAACAGGTGTCCCCCAACCAGCACTCTGAACCCAGCCACATCCCAGGAGAGAGTGGAGCCAGGACACATGGCCGGGACTGTTCCTTCTCCGCTCAGCCTTTCACGGCGGGCTCTGCCTCCTGGCCTCTCCCCGTATGCCCCCCCCATGCGGTGAGCAGGGGACCCTCACCACACGGCTCGGATGCTGACTTTGAGGCCCGGGGTCAGGTCCTCGGCCACGAACTCACAGTTGCAGCTCTTATTGTCATCTGCGACGTCCTCCCCAGGGAGACTTGCTTCTGGGTGGATGGAAACAGACGATGAAGCTGAACCACGCCTGGGGACAGAGGGCCGGGCGCCCCATGCGCTCACATCTGCTCCTGTGGAGCCACCCTTCCACCCTGCCTCCCACAGCTGCTCCTCCCTGGCTGGGACTTCCAGCAGGTGGTGGCCACAGGAGTGGCTGGTGTGAGGGTTTAAAAGGATGTCCCTGTCAACTGATGAACAAACTGTGGTGTGCCTCACAGCAGAACATCACTCAGCCATAGAAAGGAACAAGGCACTGACACGCTACAACACGGGTGAGGCTAGAGGACATCACATTCAGCAGAAGCAGCCAGGCACGCCGGGCCGCATGGCGTACTGTCCCCCTTGTATGAAACATCCAGAACTGGCAAATTCGGAGACAGAAAGTGCAGCGGTTCCCATGGGCTGGGAAGAGGGGTTGGGGGCGAATGCTAATGGGCACGGAGTTTTCTTTTGGAGTGATGGAATGTTCTGGAACTAGACAGAGGTGATGGTTGCACAACACCGTGAAGTTTCTAGATGCCACTGAATTTGTACACTTTAAGATGGTCAATTTTATGTTATGTGAATTCCACCCCAATAAAGAAATACATGGGGGAGGGGCCTCCTGCTCCGGCAGCAGCGTGGGAGGCCACGGTGCCACGGGGCTGCAGCCTGACCCACCTTCTGAGTTCTGCCGGGACGCGGCACCCTTGATCCGGAAGGCCTGGCGCGCCCGGCTGCGGTCTCCAAAGCTCCAGCTCTTGGGCACCTTGCTTGGGCTGTCATCGAGGCTCTGGTCAGCACTGGGTGACCGCCGGACAGGCTGGGCCTGGGGGGACCCCTTCCCCTTGGCAGCCACGCCTCGGGGGCTGGAGAAGACACGATCTTTCAAACTGACCTTCTGACTGCTCCCACAAGAACCGACAGACAGACGGACACACACAAAGAAACACAAGAGAAGTCACTCTGGAAAGAACACGAAGCGTATCTGAACATGACTGATGCTGTCCCACGTGACAGTACAGAGCCATGAGACCCAAGGACAGCCAGCCACGTGTGTAGGGGGAGGGGGCTCAGAGCAGCTGCCATGGGACAAAGCACAGGGCCAGAAGGGAGGGACAGCCGGGCAGTCACAGGCTCCCTGGGGACAGCAGGTGCAGCCAGACCTCGGCTGCACCTAGGGTAGGTGATGTCCGTGGACTCTTCAATCACTTTTGCTACCACGACAAAGTACGAGAATCCTCTCCACACCACCCCACCAGCGCCCCCCGCCAGGTGACACTCTGGGCAAGACAAGTCCCCAAATGCCCAGGGGGCTGCGGTTGCTCTCTGAGCACCTCCCGTCTGCCCTGGGTTCTTGCGCCCTTCCCTGCACCTTCCACGCCTGTCACCGCCCCTGGGAGTGGCCTTCCTCCTCCTTCCATCTCTCCACCTCCTGCCCCAGAGTCAGGGGAGAGCAGGTGGCATTTGTTCAGCCTCACCCTGGGCCTTTCTGACCAACCCTAGGTAGCCACCTGGTGGGAACAGGCTTCAAGAGGAGGGCGCGGGCTTCCTCACTGGACCTGGTGCTGAGCCTGCCTGAGTCTGAGCTCTACCCCGCACCAGGACGCCCGAGAAACAAGCATCCTGCTCTGGAAGGAGGGTGTGAATGAGGCTGTTCCGCCAGCCGGCCTTGGCTGGAACAGGCCCCAGCAGGAAGCAGAGAACCACAGCCCCAGCCCTGCAGGCGGGAAGCTGGATTCACAGCGGGTTCCACGTTCTCGACAGTCCTCGGGCCTCACTTGTGCTCATGTTTCTTGGTAACCTGGAGATAGGCCTGACACCCACATTCACCGGCTCCAGTGTCATCCAGCAGCAGCAGGAGAGGCAGATGTGTCACCACGGTTAGGTACCGGGCAGATGTGGCCTCCACCCTTTGGCCTAGGGAACATCAGGACCTTCTCACCGCCTTCCACCATCTGCCAGAGAGGATGGCGAGGCTCCCAGGACCTGAGAACCCACTCACAAGTGGCCACATGCAGGTGCCTTGGAACCTCCCAAGACGGCCTCTGAGAAGGGCCCATGCTGTCCCTGGGCCTGTGAGGAGCCCAGGGTCAGGGAGGCTGGAGGGTCTTGACGCACCTCCAAGGGGGAGCCACACTGCTCACTCATGCCCCAGATGGGCCCATGCTGTCCCTGGGCCTGTGAGGAGCCCAGGGTCAGGGAGGCTGGAGGGTCTTGACACACCTCCAAGGGGGAGCCACACTGCTCACTCATGCCCCAGACGCGGCTCCCAGCCCCGCCACAGCTCCCTGGATAACAGTGAGAGAGTGAGGCTCTGGTCAGC